GGTGCTTCTGGTGAGGAGAAACACTTCTGATCCAAGCCTGGACAAGTGTGCTACATCTAAAGTACCGTCCCCTCCGTGGATCCCCACAAATACAGTTTTGCAGCATTTTCTGGGGATGCTTCTAAGCTATACAGCCTAAACAGCATCTCCTGTCATCAGGCTGCAACCTTGGCCCCTGTGAAAGCACAGAGCGCATCTGTCTGCAAGGATGCAGCTGGCTGCTGCTGCCGGACGCATCTGCCAGGCCGGTTTGAGCTCCATCATCAGCCTCCCCTGACATCTGAGCACCTACGGACTCTCCTGCCATCGCTACGGAAGGATTGTGTCATATCCACTCCGCTGTCAGCCTCGACAAGCAGCGTACAAGCTGCTTTCCTCGCCTACTGTTAAGAATAGCTGAAATTGGGAAAGAGTCCAGGCAGGACTGAATCCACACGTGCTTCCGAACCATTCCCGGAGCTGCTTTCCTCTCCGCAGCTCCTGTCACCAGAGAAGGCAACTAGGGGATTCCTATGCCAAGCCACTTCTCCCTCATCCAAAAGCTCCTCCGCTCCTCCCAGCCCCAGATAGTCATGCTGACTCCTGACCTAAATTTTTTAAAATTGTCTTCATATGAAACAGAAGACAAGTCTGGAAGGTTTTGTCTTTGAGGTAGTTTACTAAATCTTAATAGTCCACAAGTGACTAATTTAACATGAGCTATCCTGCCTTGAAACCACAACCTGTAAAGTTCAGGAGCATATTTTTCTTCTGTTGATAGAACAGATAGGAAAAGAAATTCAGCAACCCCCTAAAAACTACAGTTTTGCTTAAATTCTCTCCAGAATTGTGGTTTCATACCAAGAGACCTTGGCCTTTTACCAGGACGGCATTTATCCCACGAACACGACAATTTAATGGAACTGGCATTCTCTGTACAGAAAAACGAGCATGGGAAAATCTGAATTGACACTCGGTTATTCAAGATGTATTTCTGTAAAACATTTACATGCTTCATCCTAAAAGTCTACTCCTGCTCCACAGGTATGCATTACCAGCCAGTGAACTCAAGTGAAGCGTAACAAATGAGCTTGAAGACCTTAACAACCAACAGGTCAGATCCCCATCCTTCATGAACTGCCTTTCTCCACTGAAAGTGAGGCCAGAGTCTCCTGGCTGAGGACGCATCCCGAGCTTTCCCATAGAAACATGAAATTGGAGCAGTGTCCTCAGCCACTGCGGAGCCAGCGCTCTTTCTAGTAGCAGTAGCGGGGTGGAGATGCCACATTCACCAGTGATCTCTTGCCTTGAGGTTTCCCTGCACTTTAACTGTCCCCTCATCGAGTGCTGAGGGCTGACATTGAGCAATACTCCGTTATCCCTCCCCTTCCCCCTGACTGTGCCGGCGCCAAGGCAGCACTGAGCGGGAACGTGTCAGGGTGGCGGAGTTTTTAGCGCTTACAGATGCATTGCTCTGCTTAGCTTGTCACTGCAGAATCCACCTGGGAGATAAATAGGCAGAAATTAGAGGCAGATAGGAAAAAAATATCTTAATATATCAAGTTGCTAGAGGGTGGCAGCTTCAGAGGGCCTATGAGACAGAACATCAGCAGCAGCCCCTGGGTAAACACTCGGCTCTTGCACGGCAAAGAGCCTACGTGGGCTTAGCTCAGCTGGAAGAGGCACCTCCACGGTTAGGTCTGGCGTAGCTACACAAGCTCCTGCAGGGTAAGGGTGGAGCAGAGTCCGTTCAGCTGCCCGAGGGTGGAAGGGGACATTCTCACAAGTGCTCGGGGAGCTGGTGGCAGCACGAGGGGATGAGAAACCCCTGAGGGTACCAAGAAGTATGGCCTGGGGAATGGGAGCCACGCTACGAGGTGCTGCTGGAGGAGTTTCCTCCGTTGAGGCTGCACACAGCATCTGAAGCAATTAATGGGTTATTTTAACAGAATACAGGAGGTGAGACAACATCAATCCATGCCCTGGTATGGTCACACAGCGAGGTACCGGCAGACTGGGAAGAGAACAAAGTTTTCCAAATCCGTACAGCTCTCCTAAGCCATAAACCACAATCCCTGCTAAATGGGTACCAGAAAACCTTCCTGTCCCCACCTTTCTCCCTCTTGCAACACTCAACATTTCAAGAAAAGAAATTATTTACCACTGAGTTTATTGTACAAGGTGGCATGATTTATTTAAACATTTGCCAATAAACACCAGAATGGGAGGCTGTTTTTCCAGCATTCCCACAGCAATGTACTAGAGGAAACAGTAACAGGCTCTGTGATTGTTATTGTGGGACTTCTCCTGCCAATAACACTGAGCTTACCAGTTTCAGTTATGGGATATAAAATAATTCATTTTAGAAGGTCCATGAAGAATTGCTTGCTCTGTATGAAGAATCTTCTTCCTTTGGCTTTTTATACCAACACGATGAATAAAGACTAGAGTTTTAAAAACTACTATGTGGACTCCACATAACAGAGTATTTCATTGCTTTCTCTGCTTGCCACAATCTTAATAACAAAGACAGGTCAGGAGGGTCATAAAAACCAGGTGAACGTTCCCTTCCTGCCCACATCCCCGTGGCAGGAATGGGACTTTCATTCAGAAGAGCACTGCATGAAAACAAAGTGCATTTAGCAAAAGCTTTTGGAAACTTGTCATATAAGCTTTAGCTTAATGAAAATAAAAATCAAATTAAAGATCTGCAAGTTCTTCCTTGGGATTTTTCAAGTGATGAGATTTAATTAAAAGCAAGCTAGCAAAAAAAAAAAAAAAAAGCACATAGCATTTTATGGACTAGATGAATAACCCAGAAACTGAATTGCATTCAGGTCAGCGTGCAGAGCTTGGAAGGAAAATAAAGGAGCAGCATGCCCTGGTGGGGGGTAAGATTCCTCTCACAGCTTGATGGCATCATCTGCAAGCCTGGTCAGAAAAGTTTGAGGTATCACATCAGACTGGAGCGGTCTCCTCCTGCCCCTTGGTTTAACTGGGCTGGGACTAATGAAGAAAAAGGTCTCCCAGCATCCTGGTGCCCGAGCCGGTGCTGTTGTCTGGGGGAACAGGGGGTTGTTCTCCCGGCCCACAGGGTTGCAGGGAGCTGCCCCGCCGGCCAGAGGATTTGGACGTTGTCTGATGGAGCCCAACCAGTGTTTCCACTCAGAAGTGAGGAGTTTCAAGCCCAGCACATGCTCGTGCAGTTCAAGGCTGTATCACAAAGCACGTGCACAACTGGGAAGAAATAAAGTTTCCTGATTATTGAATGACTCCCACCACCACCACTGGAAGCATATTCTCTGTATACGTATGTGCTGTAAAAGCAGCTCCTACAGAAACAAATAAAATAACCTGCAGAACCCCAGCTGAGTACTTTCAGCCCTCAGTAAAGATCTGAAATGTGCAGATGAAGGATTAGATTACATTTTGGATCCAAACTAGGTCACATTTACTTCTAAAGCCAAAAATAAGCTCTTATTCCAAAACCACAGGATAAACAGAAGCCTTTCCATCATCATGGAGCATTCTTCAGTTTGATGTTCCTTTCAGAGCACAGCCCCACTCATGCATAAATGCCATGGTAGGGTAAGGATTCAGGAGTGGCGGGTTAATGTAATAATGTTTTGCAAAATGAGAAAAATAATCAAATAAACCCTCAAATGGAAATACTGGCATTCATCCCCAACAATGAAGTGTCAAAAAAGGAGATTATAATTACCTCTAAGCCTCACGACAGCAAATGCACTTTCCCGGGGGAGTTTTGCCTCCGTAAATTAAAAATGTCCTAATTTACAAGTACTGGTTCCATTAAACCCTATAGAACCACTGTTACAATCCTGCAAATTGTAAAGCCCTACAATCCCATGCCCAGACCTCGCAGCCTTGTGTGTGTTCTTTCCAGCTGATCAGAAAGCAGAGCTCTGTACTCAAATGCAGTTCTTCTACCTTAAGCCCAGTCAGGGTGTGCCAAGCAGGAATGGCAGGTGATCGTAGAACCTATGCAAACCTTCAATTGTAGGATCTCAAAGCATATTTCAGCTACTACAGAAAACAAGATAATAATGCTCCTTGCAGCAGACACCCACAATCCTGCCTGAACATGAAAGAAGAGATCTGACTTTTCCATGGACGGGATCCTGGGTCTCAACTCAAATACTAGTTTTGCTCTTTACTGAGACACAATGAGACAGTGACAACATATATCAATGCTTTTTTTGTTTGTTTCATTTATTTTGTGCAACCAAAATAGAAGTATCCGACCATGCCCCTTCTCTCCCAGGACTGGGGAAGGGCTCAGCAACCTCACAGGATTGCTTTGCCTATCAGGAAAAGCTGATGGGTCCAGAATCCTTTTGGACAAGTTGCTTCATACTATGCACATGGATCTAGTTGCCATTTTTGGTGCTGAGGATTTCCAGTAACTCTTCATGTTCTGCAACTGCCCTGTTTCTTGCTTTTTCCCCAGAAAGAAGCCAGGTCTCTCATACTGTCCTCAAAATAGAAAGTTGAAGAGGCAGAAGGAGGAGGGCAGCGCAGACCCCTGGAGAGGTTCAGGGACCTGCCTTGGGCCACAGGGCTACAGTCTGAGGAGCCACTTAGCATCACCTTATGGTCCACCCACCAGATCTTGTTACTAGCAGAAAAGATCTCCAGAGAGTTTAGCCAGTTGACACGATGGTATTTTCCTAAGAAATCATTTGATGAATATTTGCTGTAAGCCAAGGGAAGGTGACAGGGTTCACCTACAGATTCCAGAACTTCAGGAAGAATTTGCAAATAATTGTGTGGCTCCTCCTTCTCCTTTGACTCAGTTCCAACCACAGTGTTAATATATTTGCATTTACAAAGGCTTTTTGCTAACTCCATTTAATGACTGTGCCGGGGTGTGTTTCCAGGCCCTGACTCCCCTTCAGTCTCTGGGGTTTCCGAGAGGGGCTGGCTGCTGGCTACAGTCTCTTTGGTGCACACACTTATTTAGCCCACACTCAAATCTCACACTATATTATATTTGCAAAACAGCAAATGCATGTGAAGACCTTGAGTCATCTGTTAGCTTCTTGCAGCACAGTGCAGCGCGCGAGCCAGGAGGTCAGCAGCTTGCAGAAAAGGAGATATTCTGTATGAAAGAGAATAAACTGACATACCAGGAAGGACTCAGACTCAAGGCACGATCAATCCTTGCAGAGGTTGATTAATTTAAAGGAAGAGGGGAACATCCACCAGCAATCAGTAACACCGAGGGAGGCAAAACTGTCTACCTTTGCTTGCAACGGGCCTGCACAGCCCTGAGGAAGAGGATTCAACCTTCATCGGTGCGTTGTGCCTCCCCCTCTGGAAGCTCCAGCAGGAAACCACAACGGTGTCAGGCAGCTGATGGCGGCAGCAGGACCTGATGGGATCCCTCCTCTTGTTGCAGAGCCAGAAAACATAGCAGATATCTTGTTACGATTACAGATGCTATGAGACCAGCGAGCAGGAGAAGAGGAAGGCTAAAATGGGGGAGCAGGAAAGATCCACAAGTTTTTGGGCTAAAAATCACCCAGAGGCGGCTACAGGAAGATGCTCCAGGTGGAAGGAGCAGCGGAGCAGAAGGGTCTCTCACAACTGGGAACAAGTGGAAACCAGTGTTAGAGAGACAGTGTGGAGACAAGAGCACAGCACAGGCTTCATTATTGGCATTGATTTTACATGGAAAGTATTTAACTATGATTGCAGCAGGTGTCAGAACAAACCCCTTCAATTAGATCAAGGCCTTGAGAGACTCTACAGAGAGGATGATAAAATCAACAGAGCCATTTCATGCCAGACCTGTTTGAATCTGACTCTGCTGGGCCCCAAGCTCCGACACATCTCAGCTCATCCTGACCTGTGTTGTGATTTATTCAAGGGCAATGTACTTGTTCCTATTGCTTTTCTCCTTTGCTGTGGAATTTATAACATTTAGAAAATAACCAGCTGTAGCAAAACTTTCATTTTCTCAGCTTTCCTCCTTATTGCTGCTTCTTTGTTCTTTAAGTCTTCAGGCATTTGGCAATGTGCCTTTTCCACCCAGCTCTGTGTCCTACACCCACCAAGCTAAAATAACCATTTTCTTATATTAAAACAAAAGTTTAACCAAACAGCGTTTTTCTAGATGCCTGCTCACACTCCACAGTATGAAATTAATTCCAGAGAGAGTCTTGCTGAACTCCAAGGCCTGACAAACTTTTCATCCTGTAATCATTTTTCAGAGGAAGGGAAAACAAAATACATAAAACAGACAAATGGAAATATCACTAATCCCATCATGGCCACAGAGGAAAGGGTAATAAAGAGAAATATGACAGAGTGGAATTTTTCGGCAATGACTCTGCTCAAGTTCTTTATCTCCTGAGCTTTCCAGACCACTGCCTCACCTGGGGGGAGGCAAGGCAGCTCTGCTGATGGCAGGGAAAGGTCTGCTTCTGACTTTCAGGAGCTTTTAGCACCCACTACATTTTGCACTTAAGAAGCAGAGCAATACCAAGTGGGGAGAAATGGCAGGAGCTGTCAGCACCGTTCTGAACACACAAAGCTTTGTGGATTTTTGTTTCAGTGTAGGAATTGTAGAAAGATAATTTTCAACTTTAATAGCAATGGAAAACTTTATTAGCACTAAAAGACACCACACTGAGTATTACCGTTTGCTTGGCAGTGCAGATGTGGTGTTAGACACTTACATGGTATTTAAACACTGCACAGCAATACTGGGCTTAACCATATGCTTAACTGTAAGCAAAAGGCTGAAATGATTTGATGAACTGAGGTTCTGCAGAAAGACTATGATCTATCCTTTCCTAACACAGACTCATTAAAATATTATTGATTCAACTACAACCATGAACCACCAATAAATCAGTCCTGCAATTATGCTGTGTCCATCTCCAGAGCGAAGAGACTGGATTTCCTCACTGAAGTCTGGGGCTAGCAGATGAACTAAGCTGCAAAGAAATGACATGCCTCCACCCCCCAAAAAAACAAAGCAAACAAAAGCAACCACAGGTTAGTTTTATGAGTCCCAGCCCTGTCACCAAACTTCCCACCCCCGGCATTATAGGCAGGAGAAAAAAAAAGTTCTTTTCTGTGCAGCACTTCCCTCACTCTCTCACCCTACATGCATTGCCTACATGATCAACCAGACCTTTATCTAAGTGTCTGGTATCTTTCCTTGTGGAAGGTTTCAAGGGATCTCACAAAGAAAAGCCATTTTAAATTTTATTTATTTAAGTCTTGCTTATTTAAGAATATTTGTCTCAGTGGTTAAAAAAATGAATATTTCACCTGTTGCAAAGGAGAAAAAGTAGTAACACTTGCTCTGGAAAGTAGCTAAAAAACTCCCATGAGTCCAAATGATTTATTCTCTCTGTGGTTCCTCAGACTCCTCTTCTATTAAAAAATAGGTGAAGTTTAGCCCTCTGAAAATTAATTGCTGACAACTTTCTCCTGTGATGTATATCTCCAGAGGTTTTGTTGGCAACTGATAGTTGCTGCTCTGCACATCTGTACTAAATACTGTCTGCTGGCCATAAATCCTCCCTGCTCCCTTGAGTCATGTATGCCTCTCATCCCATATATATTCCAAATGGAAATGAAAGCCAGCTGGAGAGGCAGGGGGGAGAGGGGAATTAACCAGGCAGGCAGCCATTTCACAGCCAGCTACAGGAACCCAGCACTCCGCTGTACCTTCAGCTAACGAGGAAGGCGAAGCAGAGAGACAGCAAGAGCTTATTGATGATTTGGGATGACCGTTGGAAAGCCCAAACAATAAAATCACTTCAATTACTGCTTCATACATGCAGGTTAAACCTCCTCCAGCTTTCACCATCATTTCAGTTTTTCCCCTCTTCTCCCCCACCCTTTTATGTCTGTAGGTCAAAGGAAAAAAGCTATTTTTGATGCGAAGAGAGGGGGAAAAAAAGTCAGCAACACCACCACCAAGCAAAACCTCTTAAATTCCAAGCTCAGAAAGCTCAAAACTCCCTTTGTTCTTTTGAATGGGCCACGAAAAGAAGTAATACATGAAAAATGGAACAAGGAATCAGTATTTATATCCACAAAGCCAAGGCAAAGCAACAGCTACTTGATAATGGTTTTCCTGCCACCAGCCTAGGAGATCTCAAAGGGAAAGATAAAAGCAGGGCACGATCTAGCCAGCTCAGCTCATGCAGAGTAAGAATCTTGCACCTCTCATCTGAGATGCGTTACTTGGCAAGCGTAATCCTTGTTGGCTTGATGGGAATCTCAAGAGCTTGAAAGAAAGCTGGGGTCTAAAGATCTTTGGCATCTGGGAGTGGGAAGAGCATCCATCACATGTATAGATTTTTAGTGAGCCCACAACCATCGTTTCAATTTTCTTTCTTGTTAACTGCCGACACTTCTGCAAGTAAGGAGAAACCAGCAAGGCGCACATCAGAACGCCTGGCTGTGCTTCAGATTGTCAGTTTTGACATGGCTAGTCTGAGTTATTAGTTTTGATCTTCTTGTCCCACCTTTGGGAGAGCTAGCAGTTTCTCTGCAGTCACCCATTTCAGAAGAAAACCACTGCTCTCGCTTGACTGCTGAAAAGTCAGCACTAACTTACTCATCCATCGTGTTATAATTCCTTCTCAATGGCTTGGAAACCAAAACTCAGTGTAGCTGGGAGCTCAGGCTCAGGAAAGCGTCACCCATCCTGCAAATGCAAACCAGAACTAAAAAGTTTTCATTGCTGAGTTTATTTTAAGGATAATATTTTGCTCTCAAGTGGAGTCTTTCTTCCAGAAAGCAGACGCAATGAGGACATGAAACAGCAGGGAAGAAGAGTTGTTTAGGGTATAAACAGGAATAATAATATTAAAATGAGTAATGGAAAATTTAAGCAGAATATTAGGGGAAATATCTACATGAAGCATCACTGAGCTCTGCCAGTCTCTGATCTGGAAAACACTCCTAGACATGGCAAAAGCATCAGTCCTGTCCTGCTCTGAAGAGCGTCAAGATTGACCAAAAGCCAGCATTTTTGCTCAATTGGATAGCCACGAACACGCAGCCACAGCTGACTGTGAGCAGCTCCACAATCTTCCCAGCCCAGGGTTCAGCCTGTAACGTCCCTATTTTCAGGGCTGAGGGGACAGGGGGAGTCTGAGGCTCATTTGCCCGTTCCCTCTCCATGGAGAATTCATGTCCCTGTCCCTGCTTTCTTACCTGCAAGCTCTGCCTACCAATAATAGTTGCCCCAGGAATATAAACCAGACACATTTGTGCAGCAAGAGCGACAAGGATTAAGTTTTGTTTTATGTTTCCTTCCTCTCAGGTAATCTTTATGCCAAGAAGAGATGCAGATACATAAGGAGCGGAATACGACTTCACAATAAAACAACAATAGGTAGAATCAAGCCATTTTAGAAGCAATAGCAATTTTACAAAGAAAAAAAAACAACTTAAAATATAAATAGTTATGGCAGGAGCACATACCAAGGAAGCATATGGTACAGTCTATTTTACTAATTAGTTTTCAGACCTAGTTGTGGAAATTAGAGGTGATAAGCAGCATTTCTCATTTAAGATCTAAAAATGTTTGAAAAACTATAATAGAGTTGAGTAATTGCAGGAGAATATTCATAAAGAGATCTAAAGCCACCAACTATTTCAGTACAGTATATTTTTTATTCCTTTAAGAAGTCAGTAACAATAGCCTACCTTCCATCACATATGCAGGATTATAATTCATCTCATCCTGATTTTAAGTTAACAATTTTTGCCCCCTTTATTTTTTTTTTTTTTTAAATATTTATTATCTATCTTCTTTTGTCTCCACACATTGCTCAGAGAGGTTCTCTGATGTATGATCTCACACTGGACAAGCATAAGATTGGGAGGTCCACAGACATCCCGTCACTCACAGATAGACATCCAATTTCTAATCGTCTCTATCTGGTTGCACACAGCACATTTCATCAGCTCTCTGATCAGCTCACAAGTATTAATCAATCTTCGGCTCCTGTTTTGTAGAGCAGATAAAACAAAGCGTTGCTATTCCCATTTATATCTAGAATCACAGATGGTATGTGACTTAGCAGTAGAGCTAAGACTGAACCAGGTCTCCCAACCATCCATTACTCGAAGAGGGTAAGCGATATGCAGTGTCAAAGATTTCTCCCCCAAATTCATTGCTGTGCCTGGCATATTAGCTTTGCAAGGGCAAGGGGAAGCAGAATGGTTCAGAACTATCCTTTTCCATCCCAGATGCACAGATATCTTTGTGGTTTTAGTGCCTACCAATACAACTTTCTGCACCCTTTCAAAAATTATCAAAACAACACTTTCAGGGCAAAAATCTGCAGTTTTGCACAGAAGGCATTTATTTCCTTTTGTCTTTGAATAGGCAGCATAAAAACAATTGTTTTGGCATTAACAAAGAAAGGCATTTAGAGTAACTCAGAAACAAAGAATGAGTTTCCTTCCTGGTGGGTCACCGCAGGAAAAATAGGATGGCCATGAGGAGAAGAGCTAAATCTAAAGGCTCTTTGTAAAAGTGGCACCTCCAGCCTCCCTGCAGCTCCAGCACTGAGCCACCTCCAGCCCCTTCTGCCGCAAACCGTCCAGCACAGCCCCGCTGCAGATGTCTCGGCAGCCCCAGTTCTCCGGGCACAAGAGGGGAATGGCCCTGGATCCTGGGAAACCAGGTGCTTCAGGCAATTTATTGCATTTCAAAAAGAAGAAACTGTACCTCCCCCCCCCCCCCCCCAAAAAAATAAAACCCAACGAATCTAACTTGAAAAATGGTCAGAAGTCATAAATCCCATCTTGCACCACAGAAGCTGGGCTCCGTCTCCACTCCCTCTCCAGTTACAGGGGTGATGAGCTCCCGTGATTTCAAACATATTTTAAAGAAACCCAGAGTAAAGGAAGCTGGTTCCAGCATGCAGCATCTGGCTTTTGCTGTGCTTAGAACTAGGAAAAGCATGCTGCCTCCTCTCTTCAGAGCCCCGGGCAGAGGGTCTGCACCAGCATGGCATGGGGGATGCTCTTTGCTCAGCTGAGTCACTACACCAGAGATGTACAAAAGAGACTTCCCCTCTGCTACCCAAAGCAGCTTCAGCTCTCAGCCCGTATTATTCTGCATCACCCTATTCAGATACACTCAATTCCCTGCAGCAACATCCCCTAGACCAAGAAGACCATCTGCCAAAATATTTCAACAGCCCTTCCAACAAGCATTCATGAGCCATTCTGGCACAAATGCACACCTGGACCCATTTCTGTGAAATAATTTCTTTTTAAACCCAGCAGGACAGAACAGCTGTGTTTTATAGGGTTTAAACTTTATTGGTAGTAGTGGATTTATTTAATTGCACTGTGGCAAAAGCACGGTTATATTTCTCAACCCACTCTAAGCAAAGTCCAGAAAGCTGCCTGAGTGCCACTGGACAAATTCCCCAGTCCATAGGCAGAGCTGGTGATGTTACACATGAGCCCTCCTTTATTAAGTACCTACAGTAAGTAGGAGCTTAAATCCAGCTGCATCTCTCCCTGCACCTCCCCGAGTGCTCCTGCAGCGCAGACTAAGGAGAAAAGCACAGCTTTTTTAGGGCCACCCAGCCTGGGCCCTGTGTCTGCACCAACATTGAGGGACCCAAGAGGACCACAGCAGGTCACAGGGAGGAAAAAAAAAAGTTAAAAAGTTGAACATTTCAACTATGGAGCAGGAGTAATAAAATAGCAGGTGGAAGCAAGGGGTCGAAGGGGCTGCACTGCAGGCAGCTGTTTCCAGCAAGCACAATGGCAGAAGTTACTCAGCACCTTCAGTCTGGGTAAGGAGGGACTTGGAACCTCATTGAAAGCCCAGCAGCCCTCCTAACACAGCCCTGCTTTGAAGATATCCAGGAAACACCACCGTGTTGTCAGAGCAGCTCAGCTTCATTCTCTCGGATGCCCCTCGGAAACCCACCTGCCACACTGAGAACCCAGCACATCCCTCCACATGTCCCCAGGACTGAGCCTCTTGGCTTACAGCCGAGGGAGACGGCACCCTGAAAGCAAAGCATCGCATCGTTGCAGACGTCTTGCAACCCCGAGGGCAGCCTGGGCCAGGAGACCCGAGGCTCCAGCCGGGGGTTGGAGGTGGTGGCAGGCAGTCGGCCCCGTGGACGCCAGTCCTGGCACTTGTCGGTGTTCCCGTTGTCTCCAGCCTCCCAGCAAACTCTGGTCCCCCACGAGGCAGCTCCTCCAGCCTCACTCACCCTCCATCACCTGGCAGCAAGAGCCCAGACCAGCCTCTTGCCCCATCCATGGAGAGGACAGCAGGTCTATTTATAGAATAACTGATTGCATCTATCTTTGCACCCCCCCCTTTTCCCATTACGTCATGTCTAGGGCTTGATTTCAATCACAGACCTATTTTCACATCCAGCCCTAGCTATTTTTAGGGCTAAGTAAGTAAATGGCTCATAAATAGCTGCTTGATTCGTAACAGTTTATATTGCTATTACATGCCCTACTTCTCTCCCCTGAAACTTTTGTACCTCCCTGGTGTCAACGTGTCACATCTCAGTTTGCCCTTAAGTGTTTTATAACAAGGGAAGTCTAGTTCAAGTGAAAGGGATAGAGAAGAACCAGGTTTCTGCAAATTGCCTCAGCAAACCGTCTAACGTGCACTTAGACATGCATATTAGGGGTACTGTGTGACAACTTAATTTCACACTGGTCATGATTAGACCTGGTAGGAAAATTGATTTCTCTCACTCCATTGCCCACATTCCAGATCAGAACAAACTACTAAAACTTTTCATGAGCAAATTTTTAGAGAGAAATTAATTTCAATTGCCACAGCTTTTCTTTCTTTTTTCTTTTTTTTTTTTTTTCTTTTGCTAATCAAAAGCACCCTCCTAATTAAAACAGTATGTAAACAGAAGAGTGAAAATACTACTGCTGTCCTCTCTTTATGCTTCCCACCTGGATAGATTTACAACACTGCTCAGCCCAGGAGAGGATGTTTTGTTCAATAAAGGGGTGTGGAATAATCTCCTGCAGGGTTACGAGCCAAGAGCAGCATGAAACAGGGGTGGGGGAAGGGAGGAGGTGTGTAATTACTGCTGGGAAGCCCTCACAAATATTAATCAAAATCACAAACAAGCCCTTTGCGCAAGAAGACAGTGTGAGGATCGGCTGGGAGCCAGCACACTTGCTGAGCATCTCCCGTAACATCTATCCCAAACACACCCCAGTTGCAGCACCACGTTTCTAACCCCAGTAGCAAGAGCCCAGGGATCACGTTGCCTATTTGTAAGTCAACCTTCCTTAAAGAAATCCAGCCTGACCTCCAAAACGGGGCCTAACCCCAAGGTCTTCCGGGGACTTTAAAATCTTTAAACACTGAAAAACACAACAGGAAGCAGCCAGGCCAGGAAAAATAAACTTATTAATAATGGTGACAGTAATAAACCTGTAGTATGATTTTGCTGCTCTGCATCATGCGTTTGTTTTGACTTACTCTGATTTGCTTTCTGAGGATTTTTCAGGTATTCGATAAACAGAACATGAAAGCGGTGACAGGTTCGTCAGGTGCTTCATACCAGCAGGGAAACCCTGGTCTGTCAATGAAAAGCTCAAACAGTCCCAGCACAAGAATATTCCGTGCAAACTCTCCAGCACAGGCTGTTTCCACCTCTGGGTGTGTTTTCCACCCCGTGGCTAGCAGAGGGGATCCCTTGGGGGCCACCCCAGCTGAGCTCCCCCCTCCTGCCACGCGCTGCTGGATCAGGATCCTGCGGCAGAGCCAAGGGCAGCGCTGGTCCCCGACGCTCTGACAAGCCTCAGGACCCCTCGGCTGCCCCAGGGCTTCACCAAATCAGTGACATTATTTCACAAGTCGTGCTCAATGTGTGGCAGTGCACAACGGAGGGGGGAGAAGTGGGGGAAAAAAAACAAAAAAAACCCAAAAAAAGTCAGGGCCAGGAAGTCCCTAGCAACATTTTTGGGACTGCACGAAGTACGTGGAAAACTGCTATTCTGTCTCATCTAAGCTCCCTGTCCCAGAAAAAGGTTATCAACGACTTCCCAGGTGACAACATTATTTGTGTATTTATCCTTAAATATAGAGAGCTCTCCTGGAGAGGTGGCAAGTGACATTTTATTTGGCATCCTTCTCAAGCCGAGAAGGATTGCTCTATAGTTTGCAACTTACTGCAGATGTTTGCTTGTCAGTGAAGGCTACAAACCTATTTTAATTAAAAGCGGAGCTAGGGACTGACAGCTGAACTGAGCTGCTTTAAAAAGAAGTGCTGAGAAGAGCTTGGAATGGGTTTTAAGATTCTACAATAGCCCCATGTTTTATATCAAAGGGAAATAGGAACATCCTTCAATTGCATTTTACACAGTTACCAAAGGACAATGGACTAAAAGCCAGAAGGTTTAGAATAACTTCACTTTGTATTAAGGCTCCTTCAGGATGTTTGTTTTATCAGCAAGATGCCTAAGGCTCCTTACACTCATGTCATGTCTTCAAGAAGCACAAATCCCCTTCCTCCTCCCCAACTTTCAGAACCACAGGGAAAGGAGGGGGAGAAGAAAATGGTTTTGATTTAATATACTTAAACTAAATTTGGCATTTTGAAGAACGGCTGCTCCTTTCGGTGGACAACAAGTTCAAAATGAAGCCCTGGGCTTCCCTGCACTGCATCCTGAGTGGAAAGGGAGGAATGTCATCTGGTGCTCACAATCCACTGACCACGAGCAGAACCCTGGCTGTGGACCACAGCTGACTCCGTGCCTCTCACACTTTGGCCACAGCTGCTTCTACAAAAGCATCTTGCAACAGCTCTCCTAGCACAACCTAATTGAAACATAAAAACACACTTCAGATTTTTTTATAGCATATACAAATATTGTTTCTCCTACTGGAACATTTGAACACTCAGAATGAGCGTGGATCAATAATTCTTCTATTAGATAATTGAAACATGCCTCTTGATTTACACTAATGCACTTGTTAAGCAATAAGTAATCAGGCCGTGGGCAGGTCTGCATTGCTGAAGCACGGTTTTGATTAATGGTCTGCGAGAAGGTGAGGGGCAGCCTGGCCCAGCTCAGCTTTGCTAGGCTCCGTTCAGACGGCTTCACCTGCCCCGGAGCTGCCCGTGCAGCAGGAGCCTTGCAACCAGGGCGCCTCAGGGCCATCAGCCATTGAGCGAGCCCTGCTGTGGCTCTTGGCTTTCAAGGGTCATTCTCTCAAACGAAATGCATCTCTCTAGCCGCCAGTGACAAAAGCACCCCGAAGGAGGGTCCTCCGGGCAGGCCGTGCCGGTTCCCCTGCCGCAGCCTCTGCTGACCCGCAGCGGAGGGGCAGGTGGCGTGTCTGGCAGTGACACCTTGGCTCTGCAGCCCTGCCCGGCGCCCCAGGTCCTCACCCAAAAACCCCGAGCAGAAAGGCCGGCCCTGCACACGGTGGGGAGGCGGGAAGGACGGCCCGGCAAAGACATTTTACTGACACAAACGGCTGCCAAGCCCCAGCGCTAAGCCAGACAGCTTGGTTCCTCAACGATAAATACATTGACATTGATTTGAGGTAAATTAGGCTGTGGATGCCAGGCTCACTAAGTCTCCATGCTACTGCACGCGTCTCCAACTTTGCATCAGAGGGGGCACTGCAGCACCAACCCTGCTGCGGGCGCAGCAGCTTCATCCCAGCTCAGGTCCTGTTCAAGGCATAGATCTTGGTGCGGTTCTCATTGACCAATACATCATTCCTGGCTCAAACTTTATTGAAAAGTTCCGTTCGATTGTACTTTCTTGAAACTTAAGCTCTAATCAATGCATGAGAAGTCAGCCAGCCTTCAGCCTGGTTCTGTTCCAGCGTGAGCACAATTAATTCCCATCGGATGGGAAGCAGCAGGATCTGTCTTGTGCTCATTAGTGTGCTACTCAGCTCCTCAAGGAGCAAACACCTCATGTGCCACTTTTGGCCAGAACTGCCCGATAAGTCATCCCAAGTTCCTCAGGGGAAGTCATAAACATAGGACTTTTGCTCACTAGAAGAGTGGTTGGAAACCTGATGCTCCAAGTGATACAGTACACTACATATTTGCTGGTTGCCACGGTTACTGCACATCTGGGAACAATTATGAGGTTTTGGAGCGTGGTCAAGCAAGACTTTGAAGCGTGGTCAAGATGACCTTGATTAGCAATAAGTAATTCATAAAGGATAGACTTTGATCTCCAAACCCTGGAAAATAGGCAGAACATCCTGGATCATAATGAGAATATCTGGGATTGATTGTGTTAAGAAGGAGTTATTTGACAACCTGGCAAAGTGACTAATTGATTAATTAACTTGGCAATGAAACTAACTTCCAAAGTGTCCCTGAAGTGCACTATTTTCATCATGATACTAAAAAAACGCACCCACAAGTCAGAAAGACCCCTGCCCAGGTCAAGACCCTTCCCCTGAGCATGCACAGTAGAAGAAGTATTGTGTCAGCAGTATTATAATTATATGTAAATTCCTAACCAATCAGTATCTAGTGGACGTGTTTGGAAAAGTACCAACCTCTGATTTTTGTGTATAAAAGAAGCAACTTGCTGTTGGCATGCTTGATCTGTGGGAATTCCACCGAGCTCCCAGGTCTGAATAAACACAATATCTCTCATGAGCCTGTTAAGGTTGGCTTATCTCATGCCAGGCACAAATCCGCTTTTTGAGTAACAGTTTTTGGTGACCCAGGTGGGATCGCTGTAACGCCTTGCCCAGATCAACTTGCCGACTCCTGGAAGGGAAACCCTGCTCTCTGGACTCCAGTGTGCACCCATCTTTTGATCGGGGACTCCGTGAGGATTCTCCCCAACCAGAGTGGGTAAGTGACACAACGGTGCAATGCTTGGTAAAAGAGATATTGTTTGATATAAGTTTGTGCATGCACCTAAGGGGGGATTGCTGGTAAAATGGGTAAATTCATGTACATTTAACAGTGATGACTGTTGAAGTATATGAAGTCGTGGATCAGAATGTTCTTTTTGGTTAAAAATATGGGAGCTCAACCATCTCAAAAGACCCCCTGTTCTCCCCTTGGGTGTGTTATAAGATATTGGGGCAAACTTGGAGGAGATCTGTTAACAAGAGAATGGCTAATTGAATTCTACTGAATAGTGGCCACTGTATATGTTGGAGGATGGGGAAAAATGGCCCAAGAAGGCGTCATTGAAATATAATACTATTTTGCAATTAATGTTGTTCTGTCAGTGAC